ATTTAGTATATATTTTGTTTTAAAATGGTATACTGAACAGCAGTTTATGAAATAAAATTGCCTAATATCTGACATTTTGGTTTTTGCAGCTTTTCTGTACACGTTATCTTTTTTATAACATAGTTTTAAAAACTGTCAATAAATAATTTCCAGTGCATTTTTATATATGCTTTCAAAGCAGTGTCTGAAACAATATTCCGTAGTTTATATGACTCTCTACTAAGGCAAAATTATGAAGACTAGAGATAAGGAGGCGAATCGGCCTTGGTCAAATTTCAAATTTCCGTCCCTATTTTTATGGAGTTCCAAAAAACTACTGTAGTTGGCGGGTGGCAAAATAACGACGTCTATTTTCTATGCAAGTCAATGGGAATTAAAGTGATTTTTGTAAAATTTAGTGAAAAGAATAAAAATAAGCTGAAATAAAGAAACTGACTACAAGTAACAATGAGTAACAAAAAACGACAAAGCAGGATTTTCTTCGTGCCGTGTTGCAAAACGGGATACAAATCCGATATAAAATTAAAGAAATCACAAGGAGATAAAAATCCAAGTCTTTTTAAAGCTCCTAGTGTAAGTAAAATAATGTATATTTATTGTAAAATAGTCACAACCCGTATCTTACGGAGTGTAGTTTATATAATTATAAAATTCTATAAGAAATAATAGTCATAAATCCTGACTCACAAACAACAATAATTACACATTAAATTTAACTTACTAGGAAAGAAAATTTGCTTTTTTTATGTTTTTTGATGTTAGATGAAGAGTTACTAGTTATTTTTCTTTATTGAACTCCAATTTAGTCGTTGCAAATATTTTTTATAGGATCCTAAACGTTTAGAACAATGGCAGCATGTGATTCCTAGGGCTTATAAAGTACTGTCTAGTTATGATTCTGTTTGCGAGCTACACTTTTTGGTAGATGATATTTTAAAATTTGATGAGACTATTTTAACTAATGGTACTGTTAGCAAAATAAAAAGGGGACAGCTGAAATTAAAGGACGAGGTAATACCATGTACATTCCCAAATCTCCCTTTATACTTGTATTAAAACAATAAAAAATATGTTAACTGTGTTTTATTTTACTCTTAAAACGATATATTGGTTCAATTCAAAAAAAAATTTGCCACAAAATTGTACTTATCAAATTTCAGCAATTAAGAAACCTTTTCGAATTTGGTCATACATACCAAAATTGTATTTTATATAGATAAAATTAAATAATTGATCAATTAAAACATGCAAGACTTATTTAGAAATAAATACAACATTATGTTCTGTGCTTTATTTAGCTGTAAACAAGTTTATTTTTATTATTTTGACAAAATTATGTATAATTCCTATAAGAAGCCATGTATTTTGAACTACGTAAACCGTACCAGCGCCCATGCGGTTAATTATAAAAGCTCAATTGACGTGTGATTTTTGGGACCGTATTTTGAGCATGCCGATTCGCCTCCTTACCTCTAGTCTTCATAGGCAAAATATAAGAGTTTTATTTAAAATTTTCAATAGGTAGAATATCTTTCATTTTCCTAAATTTGTATAGAAAACAATACTTGTTATGAAGATTCCATTTCAGGTGGGAATCTGTAGTGTGCCCTAAATACTCGTTTTTCACTTTTTTTATTGTTGTAATAGAAAATAACTGTCAATATAAACATCAACATTAAACTCATGAAGAATATTATGCTTCTGTACAACTGAATGATAGGCAATGTTTTTTTTTTAATATTTACAGTTAATAATTTGTAGTTAAGCCATTGTTTATTTTCAAAACATTTTTAGCTTTTAATTTTAAACTGAACCAATTGTCAGCTTTGAAGAAAATAAGAACATCGTCAGCGAATCCAATAATATCGACCTCGCCTTTTAGTCAAAATAGTCCATTTATATAGATATCAAAGTCCTAGCGCTGACCCCTGAGAAACTCCGTACTCTAAATTTTTTCACTACTTAGGACATCAGCCACCCTTATAGCCTGACTTCTACCTTTATCTTTCTCGGTTATAAACAAGTAGGGCTATTTTTGGCCTAGAACACTGCGGCCTCTTGGGTCTCTTGTATTCCCTGCTTTCCCCGTATTCAAGTACTATCTTTGAAATAGTCCTGTGCCTTTGGTTAGTTTTACTAAGTTCCCTACCAAGTCTTCCAGAGGCGCCGGCTCATTCGAAGATCACATGGTATGAGGTTTCTTCCTCTTCCATGCACAGTCTACACGTGGTGAGACCATTGTGTAATCCCATCACATGAAAGTATTTCAGCAAGCAATGTCCTGTTAGTAATCCCACACTGGTGGATATATAAGGCCTTGCGAGTTGTAGTACCTTAGTATGAGCTTACTGATTATGTGCCCTCTTATCTGTTACCAGTAAGTTTGGTGTTTTGTGGTTATCCACCTGCTCACTGCCTGTCGAGCAGATGTTATGCTTATCCTAAATACAGTAAATGATAATTCTGATCCCTCTTTGGCGAATACCTTTGTGTTCTGGTACCCACGCTAGTTTTACCTTATTGTGGGTTGCCAGATCATTTAGTATTCCAAGGCAGTTCCAGACCAGCTTTGACTTGATTCTGTTTGTAACGGTTGAAACCGTTTTCGTTATTTAGACCCAAACATTGTAACGGTTGGAACCGTTTTCGTTATTTTGACGCAAACATCTATACCCTAACGTCATTTGTCGTTTATGCCTTGTGTCAAAACTTAGATTGTCATTTTCGATTCGTCTCTGTCAACAAGCAGTTGATTTGAATTTTTAATTATCTTTTATCTTGGACATCCGATGTACTAATTGTCTATTAATATTCTTAATGACCGTCTGATTTTATAAGCCTGGCTGTATCTAGACGGTTATGTAGGAGTTATATCTAAAGAGATTGTTTAGATGTTTAGAAGTTTAGAAGAAGGTTCAAGCTGCATGTTTAGAAGTATAGAAACTTAGAAGTTTAGTTCCAGCTACAGAAGTTTATTTCAAGTATATCAAGAGGTTTAGTTCGAGTCATCTAAAGAAGTTTATGAGATTTAAGTTTACCTATGAAGATTTATACTTAAGAGTTGGTGATATCCGAAGTATATTATACGAATCCCCTTGAAGAAGGCCTCTACAAGTCACTCCTTAAATACAACCTATTATTTAACAGATAAGTCTTGAATAAATCATTTAAATTTGAATAAGTCTCTGTGAATTAGAATTTGTCGCTACCTAATCTGAAACCTTAATTATAATATCTTAATGGTTAGTGAGTTTCTATATTTTCATCACTAATCGATAGTCAAGTTTAGTAAGTTTTAAATATAGTGGCGCTCAACATTCCTTTTCAAAGTAATTCGAATTGTTTAATAACCTGACCCACTCCCCAAAATCATAAGAGCCTAAAACACTATAAAAATAGTTAAAATAAGAAGATCACGTTACAACCAAAGGCCTTTAAGGCTGCTTGGCTATCTGAGAGAATTAAGATGGTTTGTTTCTTATGCTTCCTTCTTAAATTCTCTCGAACACACAACTCGATTGAAATGCAGTGGTATTTTTTCCCAGTGAGGCGATGATGTCGAATTAGGGTTTAACTCTATGTATGCCAGAACCTGTTCCCTTGTCAGTTATGGATCCATCCGTATACCATACGAAACCGCTAAACAAGTATTTCTCTATCTATTTATTTACCTCGTTCCAGTTGCAGTTGACCTGGAAGAGTCTGTTGAAGGTTAGGCGGTGTGTCATATGATTTGATCCCGTTTAATATAAGATCATTTACCTCAGGTGTTATTCTGGTATATTTTATAGGTCCCAGTGGGTTCCAGTTGTTGCAGATGTCGAGCCTGTATGCGCTCATTCTGGCCTCCCCCTTTATGACTAGGTCAAGGGGTGGGAGGTTTAGAATGATTTCCATAGAGGCTGTCGGTGTACTTCTCAATTTTCCTTTACTTTTACCTCCTAAATATACATATATTGAAAATCTCTAAACTTACTATATTAACCATTTCAAAAGTGGAGGATGGCTGACGGTGTCAACGGATTTAGATAAGTCTATAGAAATACAGAGACATGGTTTACTAACATTAAACGATTGGTTAGAAGTAGTGGCAACTTGTCACCAAAATATTGGGGTTTAAAATGACAGAATATAAATCCCTGTACAGTGTAGGTAAAAAATTTTCAGTTTTTAGGTTAATTATACCTTTCTATATCTAAACCTTTTTCAAATACTGAAAGTTTTTTACCTACATCTGTAATAGGAGATATATTCTGTCATTGTGAACCCCCAATATTTTGGTTACAAGCCGCCACTGGTAAGAAGTCTTGTATCGAAATATTTTCTTTAAAGCTGTCCGATACAATAATTATTTTAATAGGATTTTCTTAAAAGGCGTTTCTTGATTAATTTTTCAAATACTTTTCAACATTTGGAAGATAAAAGAAATTGGTCGATAATTACTAATACCTCAGTTATCTTCGTTTTTATATAAAAGACTGGAGATTTACCATCTTCAACACAGCGATTTAATACAGATTCAAAAATTAACTTTAGTGATTGCGTAAACTTTGTTAGGTAAAAAGTATGTGACACAAAAAAGTTTAAAATAAATATTTTTTTTAATATTACGTAAATCGTCCGAACATATACGAGCCCAATATAATATTTTTTATTTTACTTTAGACAACATTGGTAAATACAAAAGAAAAATCTATTAAATCGAACTATTTTTATTATAATTTGAGACATGTTTATCAACATTTTTTTATTAAAGTTAATATTAGAAAATTAGAGATACGCACAGATGTCTAAAATAAAATTAAAAATATAACATTGAATGGGTCAAATGATATGATTCTGGGCACGTAGTTAGTAGGGCTCATATTTCATTTTCATAGTCTAATTTCCTGAGTGGAAATTATTTTTCCTGATATAAATAAATTATATGAACATTTTTAATGAGCGCAAGATTTGGCGTGCGAGGATCATTTTCAAGATAATGATAGTTTCGAACTCACCTGGCGTCGCATTACTGCCTATACTCGAACTATTAAACACTGCATTATTATCGAAATTAGCGAAATCGTTTTGATGATGATGCTGTTGTTGTCCCTTTATTGTAATACCATTCGTTATTGTCGTACCGGCTCCAGTAAAAATATCGGCCCTATCGAAATCCGCTACGAAACCATTCGTTTGCATATTATTCGTTATCGTCGTATTGTTTATATTATTTATGTTTAAATTATTAAGGCTGTTCCTAGTCGCGTTATTGTTTCTGTTCACTTCGGGCCTCGGCCTCTGTGTCGGCAGGACTTGAATACCGTTGATTTTCGGCGCCTTGCATTCTTCGACTGGTTTCACATTTACGGGGTCGAGATAATACCTGCAACAGATAAAATTGTGTCGTTAATAAAGCTAATAAATATAGCTGTTTATGTAAAAAAGTTTAATACGGTAACTTACTCGTATATAAAAGTAACGCAATGAACAGTTATATTGCTGTATTCCCCGTAAAATTACCTTTTAGACGATTTGTCATACTTGGCACTTTCCCTATTTAAATTGTATTGGTTAGATTGACGTAAGGGAAAGGAATGACATATGACAGTTGAGGATATTATAGAAAGGTGACCCCCATGAAATAAAAATCAACCTGTTTTTGCGTTTCTTTAAAAAAAAATTCTACTTTAAGTTATTCTGAGAAACTGCCGGTATTTAATAATAAACAATAAAATTTTGATGTGGTATCGATATAAAAAATTTATCATTCATTATAAATTTTGTTCTACACTTTTATTAATTATTAATTATTTATATACAGAACAAAAACCAAAAATATTCTTTAAGTATTTGTTTATGACAGTATGACAGATGATAGTGACATCTGACATCGTTGTCATAATAACTTATTTTGTGTAGAAATAAATACTTATTACCAACTTTGTTTTGACGTCACAACTATCACAGGCCATTGCATCATTCAAATACTTATCTATGCATTTAATAAGGATTTAACGATTAAACTCACCTACGCTTTTCATATTTTTCTATCATAAAATCTCTAATTGACGTTTCGTCTCCATTGGTCGAAGGCGGCGTACCCTCGTACAACCCGAGCCACACTTGTCGACAGTAATCGTTTCCTCGGCTTTTCAATATATCTATTTCTTCATTAGTAAAGGTGGCCATGGAAATGGATTTTACGCGGTGTGGTGGGGTGATGCCTCGTCTGAAACAAACCAAATATACATTAAACTAATGGCTAAATTTATGAGAGAAATTATGTGCGCATAAATTCCGGTTTTAGGAATTCCGAAGAACTTCTGGGATGTCCCAAAAAAAATTCCGGAAATTTCCAAAGAATATATTTCCTAAAAAAAAAAACAACAGATAATTCGCATTCTATTCTGAATTTTGAATCAACACTAAAAAAGAAGATATAGATATAAACAATGCAATACAAAGAAACAATAAGTTGTTTCAAAATCAAGGAACTACATAATTGTAAAATAAAGTTAATTTGTTACAATGTGATTAAATTTGAAATTTTAGTTAAAGGTGATGTAGAGGCTAAAGGGTGGTAACATAAACTTGTATTTTATTTTTTAATATAATGATATTCCTTCTGAATTCAAAACAATCAACTCCTTCAATATCTTCAAAAATAAAGTTAGTTTTAGGATGTTCAAAAATTTGACGATATCTGTAAATATTCTTTTATGTTTTACTTATATTATTACTCATATTTTACTTATTTTAATTACTGTTCTATTATTGTACTTATATTACTGTAGTTTTGTTTATATTAATAATTTAAAATGAAGTAATTCAAACTATTGTATTAAACTATTGTATCACAAGCTATTGTATCAAACTACTGTAATTGTACTAAACTATTGTATCAAACTAATGTATCAAACTATTGTATCAACACACTTTATAATTGGTTTTGGATTATTAATTGAATATAGTAAATCTAGATAACTTAGAAACAAGTATTGCAGACCTTTTTACTTAGACTAATTTTTTTTTTGTCAAATATGGGATAAACTTTTTCTCATTTGTATAAAACTATTTGGGACACACTGTATATATTCTTACAAATTTGTTTATGGCTTATTAATGACCACCAATAAAAAATGACCTAGTTTGAAAACTTGCAAAATGATTTCTTTTGGATGTACAAATTTCTAGAGGGTACAAATTTTTTTATTTTTTTTTCTCAAAATATTGACATTTTTGTACTATTTTCATGTGCAAAAGGTAATAATTATCTTGCTGTACAAAATGTGCTCGTTGCTAAGCAAAACTTTTAATTTTAGGCTGTATTTTTTTTTAGTTTTAATCCTAGAATTAAAAGTAATTGCATTTGAGCTCTTGAATTAAAATTTAACTTCTGCACTTTCCCAATATATCCTCAGTTATATTTTTGCATCTTGTTCAGGATTCATTTTCAAATCTACAAAAAGAATATTATACGCTCGATTGTAAATGTATTTCTATTTGACAATCACCATTATGTATCACTGACTACCTCCCTGCCACCGCTGTTATTAATATTTAAATTTATTACCAAATTATTATCGATTTTTTAATAACTAAATGTATTAATTTTGATTTGATGCATAACTATTGGGTCATAGGCTAAGGGCAGATTATTTGGACCAAAATATGGTGATAGAGCCAATATACCTTGATAAAATATTGCTGTTGAATGTGGAATAAGATACAGGGCGTTAAATAATAATAAATAATAACAACAACAATAATAATAATAACAATAATGTGGATCCAAGGGTTCCAAGTTCGAATACCACCGTTGGCTGGAATTTTTTTCATTTAATTTAATTATTTAAAATTAATTCTGATGCCTTGGTAGGATTCCCCACTCGACCATTCACTGTTGGGTTCTAATTAATAGTGCTGTTCCTAAAGTGGCGCTGGGAAACAGTAACAACGCCTACACAGAACACGAGGCGAAATAACCTTAGCAGTAGAAGCCGATGACACCACAAAAAAAAATAATAATAATAATTCACTGACAAGAAATGACAATTATATAACACTGCAAAGAACATTTTTCATAAATAAAATTATATTTTTTTAAATTTCGATCCGAGACTTGCGAACTGCTCAATTGCGTTTTTCTCAAAAAAAAAAAAAAAAAAAAAAACAGGTGAAATTATCGTGTTTAAACAAGAGTACCAATATTACGTAGAAATGATGTTTATATCATATTTTCTAATCAAAAACACTAAAAAGTTTCGTCAAAAAAGGCTCCCTGTAACAAAATGTAAAATAGTACATAAAATAATATTCATTGTCCAAAGATATGCCTCTGTGCTGATTTTGGTAACAATTCATAAATATGCAGTGACATTATCAGAAAAAAAAAAAACGAAAAAAATTCAACTTTAATTCCCTGTATCTTATTTCACAGCAATATTTTATTAGGGTATGTATATTTGGTCATATCACCATATTTTGGTCCAAATAACCTGCCCTTGGCCTATGTCCCAAATAACCTGCCCTTGGCCTATGTCCCAATAGTTATGAATAGTTCTATATTTTTTTTAACTTGTACCTTTTGTTTTCGGTAAGATCTATGTCGTCTGTTTTGGCTTACTAAAATTATTCTTGCTCAGGATTGTATTTTTAAACAACCCATTGTCATCAAATTTGAATATATTATGGCCAATATACTAACGTTCGGTATAAAAGACTGCATAACATTATTCAGAGTTACTGTTTTCACACCAGGTTCCACACTTTGCAGGGTTCTCTTCCTTAGAATTTGGTAATTCTAAATTGTCTAAATATTCTAAAATAGTTCCATCTTGAGTTTTGTCAATGTCTAAGATAATTCCGTGACTTCATCTTTCAAAGGAGTTCCGAAACATCCAAAGGAATTCCGAGACTAAATTTAACTATTGCATTATAAACATTTTAAAGTAAAGTACAGTATACCACAGCTGTCATACACCGCACACGGGGCCTTCACCGTCCAATGAATCTATCAATGATATTGGTCACTGTTTTTAATCGCGTTATCGCGTTATTTGCTTTATCTTAGTGCATGAAATTGGGGTTTGTGGTAGACAAAAAAAAAAAGACAAAATCATTAAGACGACAATATCTCTTTTAAAAAAGATTTGATGATATTTCTATACGACTATAGCTGTCTTAACCCTATTAAAAGAGGTAAATATATTGTGTTTTCAGAAGCAAAATGCGGATGAGGAATTATTTTTTTTTTTTATTTAGGAAATTAATAGATATTTACATTTATAAATAATACAGGTTTCATTGATACCTTTTTAATTCATACCCGATTACGAGAAAAAATTATTTTAGTCCTGGTTTTTAAACTTTAAATTGTTACGTTTTTAGTTTTATAAGGCCTGGGCCTGTTGGCTCTGCCAGTGCCTTTTAAATAGGAGAAAAAAATTATAAGGTGTAATCAGTTTAAAAAAAGTAAAAATGTTTACAATGGACTATATTTATATAATGGTGGTATGGTTTTTTATTTATTGCATATACCATTTTATAAAGTTATGGCTTGCATACTCCCCAGTGATGAATGGCCAAAGACTATACAATAAAATGCCCTCAAGAACAAAATCAAAGGATGGTGTGAATTTTTTAACAAAATCACTCGATATATATATTTAATTGAAGTCAATTTTTACTTGATTGAAGCGTTCTTGTTTCTGCTTAGGTTTAGTTTTTAGAACATATTGTAATGTTGACTGATTATACACAAACATGTTGTTTAGGAAATAAACAATTAAATCCCTAATAAACAACCTTACAGCTTTGCCACATATCAAAGCAGGAACAAACCATTTTGAAATTTAAATATCTGACTTTATTTCGCAATTTTAACTACCTTGTAATTATTTTTAGGAATAAAATTGCACTGATGTTTTTGTGTCATATATTTTCGATATTTTTCACTGTTTATGTACAGGCTAAGTCGGGATGAACGGTACAAACTCTAGTGTATTATAGAAGTGAAAAAACACATAATGTTCTTATTCGATTTTCATATTTTCCAAGGCGCTCTTATTAGTTGGCCCCCACGATCTTTAGACCTCACAACTGTAGATTATTGGGGCTAGTTGAAAATTAAGTGTACAAAGTAAAAGTGGACACTAGAGATGCATTAATTCGACGTATCAGAAATACTGCAGCCGATATTAAAGAAAGAATGAAGTCAATAGCAGAGCAAATGCCCTTTGTATACCTAAACGAAACAAAAATGCTTAGAAGCCAATTGCGGATTTTTTAAACATTTAATAAAAGAAACAACGCTATGATTAAGACAATGTTAATGTATGCAATTTTTTTATTTTATTTTTACGTGTATATTACATTCCTGGAGTTTGAGCCGTTCTGTAGACTAACCTTACATATTTACTTTTCATATGAGAATTACATATAAAATCTTTGCGTATTTTAAAAATTAAATTCTGTATCGCAATGCATTGATTGCATCTTGGATTTCGCGAGTGTTTTTTTCTGCTGTTTACATTTACGTCGCTAAAAATAGGGCAGTCTAGCACGAATGGTTGATAACTTTGTTAAAAAGCGCGTCGAATATTGGCCGTGGATTAAATTTTCATTCGATAGGATATTATTATTCAAATTTGGTTCACGATAATATTATTTGGCAACAACATTCATCACATAATTATAAAAGAAGTATCACACTGTACAATATGTAACAGTTTTATCTTTCTAGAGGGCGCAAAAATCAAAAATATCGCTATTGTAACCTACCTCAACCAGGTACATATCTTTTATAAACATCTTTAGGTAATTAAATCCTATCTATGATGCTTAATAAGTAAAAGCAATATTTCTGTTCGAGGGATCTCTAATATTACAGAAAAGATAAAAGTTATCCCATGAGAATTCGATCCAAAAACCTCCATGAACATATTTATTTTCACGAAGTAATAATCATTAAAACACTTAACCCGCTTATCTTTATAGTTTCGATGTTAAGACCAATTTTCGACAATATTTCGATACAAATTTCCGAGAATTTCTCAAAGCACATGATACATTTACCACCCATTTTTCCACCCAAAATTCGTTCCCAAGCGGAGCTACGAAAAACTGAAGTCACAAAAAGCCATTAAAACGGGTATAAAGACCCGAACTCGAGGAGCTCGAGATTTATTCATTATGATTTTATATAGAATTCAGATTATTATTTTATAT